AAGCAAAGTAGGACTATAATTTGGCGAAACGGACAGATCCAGTTAGCTCATCATGCAAAATGATGCACGTTAACGGGGCATTTTTACTTCTCAAGCAAAAATGTTCCACTCCAAGAAGTGATTTTTAACAGATGATAATCCAAACGACCTGACAGAAGCGCCAGACGATCTTCAATTACATGTAATCAATTTTAAAGAAAAATTCAGAATAGGTAATTAAGTGATATCTAACGCAAGACATTTCCGCCACGAACGTTAACTCGATACGCACTTTACTAGATCATATCTTAGATAAGAAAGAACCAGCGGGAGGCAAGACATAAAACGACAAAAAAGGACCACTTAAAAGTATGTGACGCGTTGTTCTAGCAACTGCAGCAATTACGCCAACACTTAAAGATCATTATAAGAGTGAAGCGCACGCTGCCAGCAGGCAATTGTGTTGACAACGCTAACTTGGTACGCTTCTCGTGTTCAGGATCTTGAACTTAAGAATTGTAATTTATCCGAAGAACCAAGCTACTTCAACTGGTGCTATGGGATTGCCAGAAGGCCGGTTAAACCCTCTGTCAGTAGATTGAACAGTCATTTTCAAAACGAACCACCTTCAGGTAGGTGACTACGGTAGGTAAGGGTCGCAGCATTTTGTAAGTGCATTTTATTGTGTCAATACGGTCCTTTTAGCATCCATGATTCTGTATGCTCTATTTGAAAACGGTTTCTGCTATTTTGTATACTTTAGAAATCTATTGCTGTAACAACCATACAAGCAGGAAGGGCTGTTTTAGCCAACGTATGTCGTAGAATATGAGGAATACTGTACATGCATGTATAACCGCATTTAGAACGGAGATTATCAGAACTCTGAACTAAATCCATTGAAATGAAGAGTGTGTGAACCTTGATTGGAGAAAAATAATTTTTATTCAAAATGAGTGTTTATTTGGGGTGCCATTTTCAGGCAGTGCTCGATGTTTTCATCAGTTGTCTACTTGCAGTGGGTAATATACAAACCTCTAAGAATGTTCCACGCTCTCTTGTCACACACACCATGTTCCTCTTCTACTAAAATACTTCTTCAACGATACACATGTTGTTACCTAACAAAACAGGCTGCAATTCATATCTAGATTGAAAATTATGTGTGCAAATATGGTAAAAGAAACCCCGTGATTTCATACATCTTGCAACTGTTAAAAAATATAGGAGGAGATATGTCGATCAGAAGAAATTCTTCGAAAGTCATTATGATAAGTTTGGCTATTTATATGCACTTTTCACATTCTACCTGTGATAAATGCTACAGCTCAATTAGAATGAACTCGTGATCGGACGAAAGTATAAAAGAACGCGCCGTAGTTGTGCGTCCTAAAGCGAACCCTTATAGGTATTCTGAAGACAACTATAAGACGTCAAACTATGTCAGCGGTTTGTACGAGCTTATAAACTCACGTTCTCAATAGCCGTACCACGGATAGCTTGATGAAAGGATTACCTCTATAGAGTTACAAGCAGGCATGATATATGAAATACAGTGTAATAATGACTATCCGCTTGTACATGTAAGTATTAATAAGAAAAGAACACTTATAAGAGATCATCGATGGGTCACTGGTACATGTTGCTTCTCACTGAGAGTTGTAAAAGCAAGAGAGAATTAACTGCTCAACGTTAAAAAATCTAAATAGGTATTTAGATAGATAGAGAGATAGATTGATAGATAGATAGATAGATAGATAGATAGATTCCTCTTTACATTAAGTCTATGGTTTTATCAAATCAAGTTTCTTGTATGCATAAACTGCCGCTGATGCTCTTAAGTACTGGTCAAATAATCCCCCGCAATGAATATTGGAAATAATCAAACACATCAGGCGTGGGCAGCATAATCAATATGTCCGACCCTACTCAAACTTACCTCGGCAACTAAATATCATCAAATTAACAGCAACGTTATTCTAAGAAATCGAAGAGCAAAAGTCTTGGCAAAGTGAAAACACAGGGACAGACGCACATTTTAAAGAGATGGACAATTATATTGATACTGGGTTTGGTAAAAAAACGGTTTGGATAAAGGATAGGATTTATTACTTTTCTGAGTGTAACCAGGTATGCAAACTTTTGTTGGATTCTAAAGAGGGTAACGATCAGACCGTTATACACAGTGAGTAAAAATTTGACAGTCCACATTTTGATCATCTTTTTATTCAGCGGAGCTAATGAACTCTATTCTCAAAATCAGAACATCTATTTTGCACTCGTTAAATAACGATTACTTGAAGTTTTTTTATAATCAAAAACATTTTGATTGCTTGCGTGGGCATGTATTTACGATTGGTATAATTGCAACCCCGGCTCGTGCTAAGTCAGCACAAACCATCTCAGTGGAAACGCCGAGAAGGGACATTCCTTTCATTTATCGGGCGATTCCGGTCTTGTGGCTAGCCTTATCCACCGTCTGGTTAAGGCGAATAATCCCTAAGGTGACCTCAACTTGTCCCCAGGGGCTACGTTTGAGAAATCGCAACGAGGATCTTTTGAATGAACTCCCATCGATCCGTGTAGACAGCATGTTATTGGAAGAGATAACTATCTCGTTTTCTAGAACGCATCTTGAGATTTTTTTCCTCCGCAGTTATAATCACCGTGCTTTCTATTTAGCGGCGATGTGGGATTTTGGTATTTGCTCAGTTGATACATTTTCCTTAAATGAAAAAGAGGGAATTAAGATCATGTCCATGTACGACAGCTGGCATTTTCGTTTTCAATGTTTTATTTTCTGTTTTTGCCTATCAGTAATTGAGTGAATCATCTTTATGTATTAGGTAATTGCTAGCTGAACCTTTGAGAGCAATGTTTTTGGGTTTAGATGGGTCCATCGAGTCAGGTTGAGTCGCGGATCGATTTTAAAGAAAGTTCTTTGAACGGAGGACGGGAACGTATGATGCATGAATAAAATGCGCTTTTATGAAAGTAAACAAATAGCCAAAACCATAAATGAGAGAGAGAGGTTTCTTTTTGAATTGACTGCCATGATTCCAAATTTCATCGAATATACAAAGCAATTTTTGTATTAAGTTCAACTATATAAATATGGCGGGTGCCATTGGACTTTTCTGTGGGTTCTGACTAAACTTCGATGTCGCTGAGACATCCGTTTAAAATAGAAACTTTTGTGTGTCTGTGTTATAGCCCTGAGAGCTGCAAAAGTCAGCTAAGTCACTTTAATTAAAAACTCCTCGGAGTTTGTTATCGCTTGTGCTTATGCAACTTAACAACTATGCCGTACCAATTAAACGATATACGCATGGATGAATGGTCAAAGTAAGTGAGATTATTGCAAGGTTGTCACTGGGGCATAACTCTTCATCCAAAGCAAGTTCCTACAAATCCGCCGTAATAAGTGACTCAATCAGTGGTGAGGAACTAACAAAAGAGGAAATCCACTCATTTACTCCAAAATCAGGATTTCCCGTATATATGCCAAATTTAGGTGTTTTGCAGAAAGACACAAAAGGCGTGGACTTTTGCCTCGTAAATGTTGACAATCAAGACGGAAGAATAATCACTCGACTGTTCTATCAAGCTAAAATATACGCCAACGCCTTCTTGAAGTTTATACTTTTCTATCGACGTGTTAAATTTGCTTTAAAATACTCAACCATGACGGCAAGAAGAGGCATACAGCCTTGAGTATTTCGCACGTGTGAACGAGCTCTGTCTGGTGTTTATTGTTTGCCATCTTTCCCTCTACTGATAAAACATTCATTTTTCAAATCCATCCGCGGCTTTGAAGAAAATTTTGCTCTCCACCCACGCCGTCTTTTGACATTGTAGGATTCTGTGCAAGTCGTGCTTCAATATGTCTCGGATCAGCCCAATAACTGCACCGCTTTGATAAAGCATTTGATTCTAAAGGTCAGATAACATGTGCTTCAAATGGAATATCGAAAAAGATGAAAAAAAAGTAAATTGGAACAATCAAAATGAAAAATCTTAGGAGCCATTTCGCCATCTATTTATTTTCTAGGCTTCAGAAAGAGAAAAGATTCAAAAAGTCAGTTTGATCCGTCGAACAAACCATCTGCTGTGAGTCAGAAATACAGACATCAATCCCGGCTTAATGGCTCCTTGCTTCTCCTTCTTGAATATCTGGTGAACTTGAAAAATGACATATGTGATTGTAGTCTGTTTACAAAAAATGAATTTACCAATAATAAACGAATCAATGTACATTTGAAAGAAGGAATAGTTCCATGAATAAAAAGGTCAAATAAACAAACAAATAAGTGCAATAACCCATACACCAATGACAACTACATACATCGCCAAATTCAACATTCCATTTGTGTCCGTTGAATTGCTGAAATAATATGATTAAATAACTGCAGATAGCAGAGTGGGTGGATATTTCACAGGAACAAAATAATAACGCAAAGCCGTACAACAGAAATCAGGAAATGAACACCAGAACAAGAGTTCACCAAACTACAAGGAACTGCTCTCTAATTAACACGGAAACGAGAGACCTTGTTTTGAACATTGTATGTACAATGAAAGCAGGGTATGATTGGTATTGTAAACTATCTAACACATTAAGGTAATACTTGATATAACCACCACCGTGTCTTATTCTATCAAAACGTCTTCAACATCTGAACAAATAGAAACATACCTTGTTACTTTTATCTAGTGTGCAGACGAACGGAGTTGTTTCCAATGCAGTTGATATAGCTGTTTGATCATCTGGTAGTGGATAGGACATTTTAAAAATGTCTTCACACAATATGATGGAATTGGCCGGAAAGAAATTTACTCAAGGCGGAGAGATGTATTTACAGTTTCAACTTAATTGGTGTCTCTAAACATGTTTACATTTTTTTTTGTTTTTTGTTTTTTTTTTCTTGGCGGAGGTTCGCAATCCTGGCTAGATTGTTCTCTAGTCTCATTACAGTTACACGCATAAAACTACATTTTCTTATTTTTTTGATATCTTTTAGGAACACGCCCCTCGTCCATAGAACAAAGTCCTTTGAAGGTCGACTTTGAGGAGGATTGCCGGCGCTCCAACGGCACAGGTAAGACAATAAACAGTTAATGACCTGGACATGATTCTACAGGCAATATCCACTTTAAGTAATAACGGCTTAATAACCGCATACAGGAATCATCAGCCCTTACACGCCAGTTCTTAGCTTCATCACGACTGTATAAAGTTGATTCCAAGGGGAAGTTTACCAGCTAATTGCCTGCTATTTATGCTATTTATTCTATTATAGCCATCATCGTCAGGTAGTTAGTTCTTGATTGTCGTAGCAGATTGATTAACATGTCTACAGATTTACTTGGCAGACATTTAATCGAATTGACGAAGGCATACATGTACAACACGACTTGCATTAATTTTATTTATTCATTCACTTTGCGATTTTAGTGGACTACGTCGGCAAGACAGATATTGTAAGCATAGGAAGGTGATGTTCAAGTTAATTTCGTCCACTTCTCCATTCATCCATTCATTCAATCACTCATTCATTCATTCGTTCACTCACTCATTCATCCATCCATTCATTTGTTCATTCATTCATTCCAACCTATTCTCTGATTAAGCCAGAGTCTATTTAACCATCTGGTCAATTGCAACGCACGTTTCTCAACTAGACTGACTACATTAACAATGGGACCTATTTCAGCAAAGTCCTATTATAGCCCGAAATATGTGTTATATTTAAGACCACAGTATGTTAACCCAGGACTAACCAGTAGTTGTCCATTTTAACTGAACATTGCGCCTGTTTTAACAAAAATACATTCCTTAATTTACAAAGCAATAGAAGGACGTACTTTACTTAAAGGGACTATTATGGGATTATCTCGAACTGAAGAAAATCCAGTTTTTTGTCTGAAAGTTGTCCAATTTTCGGGCTTAATATCTATGTGAATTATGTTGTCTGTAGCCCAAATTTGAGGGCACCAAGCAAAGAAACATGTGGAGAACCTCTTAGTATCTTACCACAAATGTTAGCACGGGGTTCAGCGGCAAAATAAACGTTTAGATATGCCTCTTGGTTAATGGCAATATGTTAGGTATATTTAGTGATTCCGCTGCTTTTGATACATTACTATTACCTTGCCAGAAAGGAACTAGAGATTTGCATTGGGGTGGAGAGCTCAATGTATGGTAGACGTTTAGGAGTAAGACATGTATGTAGGACAGATGACATAGGTATGCAGAATTGTTTTCTCGTTTTAGTTATCTGAAAATAAATTAATTTATTTATTTATCCAGAATTTTTGACATCGATATCGTTCTCATGAAATTTTCAAAGATATTTCATGAAAAGTTTTGTTCAAAAATGTACAACCCATTTCATTTGCATTTGGACGACAGGTGTACAAAAATCACTCTCACACAGCTGGCGAGCAAATTGGTGTACAAATTTATCAGCTGCCGTGATCTGAATGGCTTGCCAGCTCTTTTACTATCACTAACAGAGATGTTAGTGCGTCTCATTCCAATCCCAGTTATGCCAGCTTCTTTACAAAATCAAGTTGCCCAGGTAAATGATCCTTAACTCCATTCCAAAGCGGTTAGAAATTTAGACGCAAGATGTTACATACTGTTACTACGTTACTTGCGCAAAAATGTATAAAGCGCCTGCGACGTGACCGCAAAATGTCACCTATCCATTTGAATGTGTTGCACTTTTACTACATGTAAGATATATAGGTCGAGTTCAGATTTTAACTAAAGGAGAAGATCCTTTTTAAAGAGCATTATCATTGAAAGTGACCAACATAACAATTGATATTTTAGGACTTCTTCATGTTGACATAAAAGGCATGCATGGTTCATATCAGTGAATATACAGGCTGTTTATTTTTACAAAGGAACTAAATTTAAGTACTCAAATATTACGTCTATTTTGACCCGCGATAAAGTGGTAAAATTTCTGCTGTGTACTGGTATTGGTATTTCAGAGAAAAATTGTATTTTGTGTTTTATACAAATACTTCTTCAATTTAGTTGGTTTTACCGATTTAGTCCGACCCAACCTGAAAATACTGCGGTAAAAAGTTAATAGTGACTTTTGCCCTAAGTTCGCTGTTGTAATAGCAGTAAGGTTTCAGGAACGCTGCCCTGGTTCGGGTCAATGTACACAAAATTGGTTTAAAGTGCACAAAAATACGATAATTCCATTTCACAAGATCTAGATTGGGATATATCTCAAATCGATAGCACCATTTATGCGATTGTTTTTGCTATTCCGTCGTATTCATGAGCCAATTGAAGGTTGATGCACTATTAGGGCTAATAGACGCATAAAGGATGTTTTCTGTGCAACTGAATGACGATACACTTTTATTTGAGTCAAAGATCGTAAAAATGTATCATGTCCACAATTAGGTTACTTCAAGCCATTGTTTTATCTTGGAATTCCAATGGGAGAAAAAAACATACACATTAAGATCGTATATAGATAAAATCAATTAGTTTCGTACACAGTGATTTTTCCTCTCAACGTTCTGTTTAAATGGAGACGCAGTGAACAATGTACACGCATATTATTTTTTGGTGGAAATGAGTTTTGAGTGTTATGACTTGTAAATGCGATTAGGCTTAATATGGACGCTGCCCTTATCAAACGTGATTCTAACCCGGAAAATAAGGTTGTTGTAAGCGTAAATGTATTTTGCATGCATAAATGTACTTTGCATGCGTTAATCCCGATTTGTGCACGGCAATATAAGCCATCGCCTTATAGGCGTTGACACAACTTTGTGTGAAAATTATGTCGCGGTTTAGTGAGTTAGCTCCAATTCACACTTTATGTCGAAAAAAAGCATCCGATAATAAGTGTGCGGTTCTTCATCCATTCTTTATCAGTAGGTGAAAATAGATAGATAAGAATCCTATTAATAAAAGTACGAAATAATACATTGGGATTCCCGAAAGAGTTATCTATAAGAATTCTCAACAGATACAGTGTTTTTGCAGTCATATAAAGCGTGTTTGCATACTAGTGAACTATGCTGTACATATCTTATGAACACGCTGGCATAACGAACTGACGTTTCTCCGTTGCTGTTGTTTGACAGGTATTTTTAGATAAACAGTCGGCTTCTGATCAGTACAGTTCATGTTTAAAATATGCGTGGAAAATGTCAAAGCACTAAAGCTTTTGCAAAAGCTACACTTGAGTGCCAAGAAATTCTAGAATTGGGAAGCAGTTTCTATTTTGATTATTTGATTATTGCAAAAACATCATAGTTAGCACCCAATCTGACTCCGTGTTGTTACTTTTTTCCAAGAATATTCGTGGAAGAGATACAAGGCCAGAAACCCACGTAAACAATTTAAAAGAAGGCAAACAAGCATTTTTATTTGGCATTTGAATCCTGTCGCTACTAAATAATTCGACTTATCAAATCAAAACGAATCTCGTGGGAGAAAAGCGAGAAAAACCGTCATGTATTCCTCTGTCCAAGTTCTGATTTAGTGCAAGCAATTATGTCAAAAATTCCCATTAGTACTATGATATACGTGTTACTTGTCCTGGAGAGTGATATAAATGCAAATTTCACAGACATATTATACGTTGCAAAATAAACAGCTTGAACGGGAAACGGACAATTATTCCTTTAGCTCATGTTCATCATGTGCTCCTTTTTGGGCCACTGTTTTGAGACGTTTCCATTTCTGCAAGCACGTTCACCTCAAAAGAGCCAAATTCTTCTAATACGCTTTTTCTGGCGATTTCCAGTAGAAAGATGGCTAACCTGGATTGACTTCAGAAATTACTGACAATGAACATCTAAAGTGGATTCTCTGATTGTATACTTAATAATGTTTAAGTTAAATGTTATATACTCAACAAGTAAATAAGGGCAGCCCAAGTACATATATACATCATTTGGACATGTTACCAATTTAAAACTTACAGATACTGGGTGAGCGAAAACCGCCCCGAGTTCAACTTTTTTAAGAACTCGCACGTTTAAAATCATAATTCCATGTCATTTCTAACCACACGCCTCTTACCTATTGGTCTGATGACGAATGCCGAGAAACTCGGTTCTTTTTTAACTTTTCACTGGTGATTTAAACAAAAAAATTGGAAAGTTAGCTTTTAGACAACTGCACGCGTCTACCATATCACCCCACCCCCCTTTAAAGTATAAATTGCATTCCTTTTTTCATGTGATAATTGGAGAATAACCATGAAAACCCTTTGCCTCCCGTGTGGTCTCGAGTGCGTAAAAACGAAAAGTGAATAATTATAGCAATTACATGTAGGGGCCTATCTGCTTATGGATTTGTATCGTGCTCCATTAGCGAGCTATTTATTATATACTGAGTGGAATAAGGTGTTGGGATGCGAACAGCAGTTAGTACATTGGGTAGACTTTTGCAAACCGTTGCTTGTATCTTTATAACAACTAGTACGCTAGGAATCGTAGTCCGTTTCCCATTAATTTGTACAGGTGACATTCGTCTCAATTACTTAACCAACACTCCTACCAACCCCAACCTGTACTATGGGACCCCGGACTTCCATTCCTAGGACTATCACTTCTGTCACACCGGTCGTTTGGTAGGAACAGTCACTTGAGTTGAGATGACGCACTTGTCTGTCAAACTCTAAATCTCTATGCGTGACTTCAGGTAAGAGCACCAACTTATCCCCAAGCAACGTGGCTTGTTTTACGTGACACTGCGCCACCAGAATCAGGAAACCAGACACGCGTCACCAGGGTTACGCTGTCTCACTTCCGGTTCTTGAAATGGCGGCGGAAGTCCTTTTTGGTTGAGTTGCAAGCAAATTAGTTCCAGAGAAGGGGGGGAATGTTTGCTGCAATCACAGGCAAAAGAACAGTGCTTGTTTGAATCTAATAGATGGAAACGTTATCTAGTTCATTGCACTCTATAAAAAACCGCATAATATCCTGTTTTGAAAGGTTTCAACAGTCTTGTTGTGCGATAGTGGAATAATATTCTCTGAAGTCAGAAATAGAAGAAACTATTATTGAATTTTTGTATGTTTGTTTGTTTTGAGATTAAAATATGAGGAGAGTG